TTATAATCTCACTTATAGATCGATCATCTGAAACATTTCATCGATGATGGTAATAATATATTAGTATTAATGAGTGAGGGAGGTGAACAAGGTGCTGATACAAATATTAATTTTTTACTCGAACAATATGATATTACCTGCAATAATGGTAACATTTAAAATAATAAAAAATTTTAAATCATTGTAGGACAAGATAATATTTAATCATTTAAGTTTTATTTCCAATTCAATTTTGATCTAATTTTAACAAAAATTTAAAATCGTCATTTAATTAATTTGGATATCATTTAATTAATTTAAATAAAAATTGGACTCAGATCATTATATTTATTGATTTAAATTAAAGTAGAAAATATTAGTTTCTATAACAATATTTCAAGTATATGGTTTTTTGTCGAATTAAAAAATTCCAAATTATATTCTTTTTTATGAAACTTAAAGAAGTGTATCGTGAATTAATAGAAATATTTGGGAATTTAATTTTAGATTCCGTAATTCGGACAACATTTTATAAATATTTCAATCCAAAGGAAGCATTGATCGCTAATGGTGTCCTAAATCGTGCTCTTACATCAACAGCTGGCAAGTTGAAACATTCAAGTGATGAAGAAATTAACGCACTGTAAAAATTTCTAGAGATACAAATTCTAATTACTGCCTGTAAATAAAAAATACAATCATTCTAATAATGTTGGTAATTAAACAGATAAACAATTATCAAAATGTTTTCTCCTAAGAAATATTGAAATAATTTTCTTTTAAAGTTTTTGCTTTGAAAGTGTTAAAATTTGATATGAAACAATTAATTTTGTTATCGTGCTATCAGATATATATTAATAGTACCAGTCTTTCAATCTGTCAAATTGATTTCAATTTTGTTTAATTCTTTACATTAATTAATTTTGTTTGTTTAGTAATTTAAATCATTTTTTTAGTGGCTTACAATTTGTTTATCCGTATGGAGCAACACTGAATGTTGGCCGTAAATCAACAGCAGTACTATCTACGGGTAGCGTTTGCTACCCAAACAATCGGCCAATTTGCGCATTCCATCAAACGGTCTTTAGCATTTTAATTTTGAAATAAAATTTTTAAGGAAAAAAAACTTTGCAACATATAGAATAATTAATTTTAGGAAAAAGGTGGCAAATTGATAGTTATTGGTTCAGTTCATATTTTCACAGATCAATATTTTGAAAAAGAAGATAATAATAAAATATGGGTAAGTAAATTGATTGCAAAATAAAATTTGTCGTTTTTACAATTCACTTATGAATAGATGAATTAACGTACTATTTAAATCCTTAAATTAAATTTCAACCATGCGCTTTTTATTGCTAAACCTGAAAATGCTATACTTCTGAAATTGGTTTAAAAAAAAGTTTTTATCATTGCATATTTTGATGCATAAACATGATTTTATAATTTAATTAAAAAGATTAACTTTTAAGGATGTTATCATGAAATATGTAACGGATGGTTTTGCTTTGAATGTTGTCGATAGTAAGGAACCGGATTTGATGGACACACATCCCATACCAGATCATATTTACTTATCGGAGAAAATTAAAGTATGTCTGCAGGAAGGTGAATATGAAATGAATCAAAGTAATGATTTCCTCAAATACTTTGACATTAGTCTTTATGCTATGGATCTCTCCGTTTGGCCTAAAACTATCAGGTAACATTAACGGAAATATGTAGACAAAAAAAAAAGGACGGCAAAAAAACGAACCTAATCATTTAGTCGAATAAATGGAGCATTTTGAAGAGTATTTTATAATTTTGATTATCGAAAAACCAGTAAATAAATAAGCACAGTATATTGAAATGCCCTGCAGATTTTTTAAAAAAAAAATATGTAGAATTTAAATTTAAATTGTTCAAAAATTTCTGGAAAATTCGCAACAATCTTAAAGAATTCTAAAGCTAACAAGCTTTTTAATAAACCAGTAGTCATTTATAATTATTATTCACATTAATTAAGCATTAATAATAAAATAAGTTCCTTCCTTACGAGAATACTCCTATTTCAGGGCATATGAGCAGCTTGGTTTAAAGCATGAACCACTTTCTCTTATTGTACCACAATTTGAAGTACCACAACCTCCACTTACACCTGCTGTATGCTTATCATATCATAAGTTATTCATTATAGTGATTAGTTTAGATAAGCTATACTTAAATGAGTTATTGTTAAATTACAGGTATTTCCACCAAACTTTCGAGAACTTCCGCCACCTCGATTGGAATTGTTTGATTTAGATGATATGTTCTCATCAGCAGATGTTCGACTCGCTCAACTTACTAATAAATGTAAGACTTTTTTTTTCTATTTGACAATGTTTAATCACAATACCATCATAAACGTTATTCACATCAATACATCTCTTTAATTATAGCTTAATTACTTAATCATCATATCACCATTACAAATGATCCCAAAAATGGACATCCGAGTGTATCAATCATTTATACTTAATTTTAGCATAATTAAATTGCATATAAGATAGACAAAAATATGGACTTCCTAATGAATAAAGTTTCATTGTTCAAGAAACTGCTAATTAGTTGAGAACAAGTAATTTTCTTGATAAAATTATTGCTTAAACATTGCCAATAGCATATTCTTCCTAGATTTACTTAACATTTCAATAACTTGACAATTTATGTTGAACTGATAAATTGTTAACAATAGTAACAATCGTATCATAATAACAACAATTTCGTTCATGACAATAGTAACAATCGTATCAAATGATTGCAGAATTTCCCTAATTTACAAACAAACAAATGAAGTTATTTAATTACAGAGCTATAAGAATAAGTAATTAATAACAACATGAAATTAGACTTATCAATTTTCATTAATGATCGAAGTGGTTGCATAGCATTAGATGAAATAAAATAAAATAAAAGTCGAAATAACATAAAATAAAACTCAACTTAATGAAAATTAAGGTGAAGAAAGTGATTTGGAATACTTCTTGAGGGAGGCTGGAGAAATTTATGATATCACGAAGTGTTTGCCGGAAAATGATAGAGGACCGAAAAAAATACTTGAATTTGTGCTATATCAATTAGCAGGATTTAAAAAGTTCAATCAGGTCATTTTAAATTAATTTATTCAAATAACACCCTTATTTTTTCTTTCCTTTTCAATTATACGTTTGTTAAATTATTTTCCGAACTTCTCAATCTTCAACATTCGCGATTTTATTTCAGGAAAAAGATGATATTGATATTGAAAATCTGAAAAGGACCTCCAGCGATTTGAATGAGCAATATTTCTCGGATATTGATGAACATGACGACATGAATTAAGTCTTTTCGTAATTTTATTTTTCCTTCGCTGAGGTTAATTTACTAATCCGATTGCTGGTGATGTTAGAAAATATCTTCAAAACAAATGACAATAATACTTATTCAACTATTTTTAAAACGGAAAAATCGGAAACCGTTTCAAAAATGCAAACTCCCGCTGTATATATTATTTCAATTAATGAACAATGTATTCAATATGCATATACCATACATGATATAGTTTCGTCCGTAAAAGCTTACGAAATGAAAGATATGGAAAAACATCAAATGTAACTTTGAATTTCATTTGGGTATTAGGTGAACCCGGTATTACTGTACATGCTTTTCCATATTTTTCATGAAGAAAAGCTAGAATCATGAAATTTTAAACTTTTTCTCTCGTTTGCTGAAATGTTTCTCATGTTATATGATATAATTCATAATTAAGCTGAATACGGTAAGAAATGGGTTTTGATTGAAATTCTTCCATAAAAACCTGCATGAAATAGCTTTATTTTCCTTTTCTACAATCCAGCAAACAAAAGAAAGAAAACGAAAGATTAAACAAATAGGATTTCGCAAATTATTATGAATAAATGTTTTAGAGCGAAATAGCCGGGGACTGGTATCAAAGGATAATATCCGAGAAGTAGATATCGTAAAGCTTTCTATATAATAGAAAAAAATGCCAAAATTTCTACTGCAGCAAACTTCTCTAAACAAATTTGACATGAAAATTTTTTTCCAGATAAATTTCCTTACGATCGGGTGAAAAAATTTCATACCTTTATTAAACTTTGCCAATAATCACACTCCAACTTTCCGAATATATTGATAGAATAATGACAGAAATGTAATTATTAAACTTTCATAGATATTTTGAAGTGACTCAGATACTAAAATTTAAATGTTGAAGTTCTCATCACAAGAAAACATTCGAAAGAGCGAAGAAACAAATATTGAACATCTGTAAAAACCGTCCTAACAATCTAAAAAAACAAATGCAATATGTCTTCTATTTACTGCTAGCGAAAAAAGAGATGAAATGCTTTCGAAGCATATTAATATTATAAAGGCGATATGATATAGCTGAGAAAAAAAAAGGCTAAAAAGAAATCAAGAAGAGTTCCGCTTACGATAGGCAAGCATTATTCTCCTCATAGTAGGCAAGCTTTAAAGCACATATAGAATCTATTGACAATAGAGAAATGGAAAGATAGTTCTTTTCCTCAAACATCTTCAAGTTCAATTGTTTCAGCTGAAGTTAAACTTTCGACACCATTCTTCAAAAACTTTCTACTATTCACCATTTCTTGGAATCAAATTTTCACTAATCAGTTGATGAAGCCACAGAAATACACGCGGATAATGTGTTCCGTATCGAATCCACTTCTTCATTTCTTTCATGTGTTGATGCAGTGACCATAGTACTAAATGTTCCAGATGGCGTGAGAGCAGAACGCTGAGCGGGACATTCAAAGTGCACGCAATGAAACACTTCATTCACTAGAAAAAAAATAAAATAAATTACTATAATTAAAAATATTAAAGAGTACGGATTTTTCATCCTTGACTACCAAATAAAATCTATGTTCCCAACGTGTTCCCAACATGAACTGTTTTCTTTCTGACTTTCCGCGGTGATACATTCCCTTTGTTACAATAAAAGTACACAGAAAAGTATCCATTTTCCTTAGAGCAATTGAATTGAACCAAATCACTAACACAGCTGCAACGTGAATGACAAGAAAAGTTTCACATTGAAAAATTGTTTTCAAGTTTTCATATTTAAATGGAAGTATCTTTCACCTGAGTTGTGCGTTCCAACAAGACGAATAAACACAACTGGAAGTCGATCAAATTTCAGGATTTGCCATGCTCTATGAATAAAAACACGATTTATAAACTAAGAATGAGTAATATATGAAACTCGAATATGTATACATATATTACATTATGAAATGATCGGCTAAAATGCCAAAAAATATAAAGAAATTGTTCATCTTCTAAAAAAAATGTGAAAACTATCAGGTAATATTTAAAATGTTTGAATGTGCAAATAAATGAGATTTACCTGCAGTGCTCTTGAGTTTTATCAGCTATGCGTTTCCAAGACATGTTATCACATGATACTTCAACATAATAAGAATAATGACGATCATCACAATCCCACAGAAGTAAGCTAAAATATAACACACAATGCAGCAGTTTAAGCATTGTAAAATGGATTAATATCAAATATTCAATTAATGAATGCTTGCACGCAGAATAATATTAAGCAATGATTTCAAAAAGAAGAGTGATTTAAGTAATATTAAGCAATGATTTCAAAAAAGAAGAGTGATTCAACGACGAAAAAACAATTATTGCTACTTCCCTTATCAGATGAAAATGTAGCCAAGATCTACGAGGTCAGACGATTCATGGCGAGTATGATGTATTAAACAACTGGTCATATATAATAAATGATTACATACCAACAAATATTCACTAAAAAAAGTCATAAATATAGTCATAAAACATACCGCATAGAGTCGATGAGATATGGCTGTGGTAACTGCACAACGATTGCACCAGACCCTAACTGATGACAAGTATAACCATTGTCCCAATCATAATTACTCGTTTCTCCGTTTATCAAAGCATTTCTGCTACGTGAAACTCCTTCGATCACAATAGCATTGTTTGCTATGGTTGCCACATTAGCATTTGGAACTGTAAATTATCTGTGAATAAATTCGTTCGAGAAATTGAGTGAACAGGAATGAAAAATATGAAAAATATTACTCTCTCAAGCACTTGAAATGAAATCAATTTTTGTCTTTGTATTGTTGCTTGAAAAAAGGAATGAATAGTTTTAAATTATTGTTGAATTCATTATTTTTAGCAGTCGATTTGATCTGAATTCTGGTTAAAAAGCTTTTATCCCATTTAGAGCCAGAGTTATTAGATCATTTTACAAAAAAAATGAGATTTATACGCAGTCACTAATTACTTGTGAAAAGAAAAAGAATCACCAAGTAAGGTAGTAAATGGATCAATATCGAAAGGTTCCGATGTATACATTGCTTCAATGCTTACCAAATGGAACGAATTATTTACTGTATTGTAGGTCCCAATGATACGTATAAAGCTGTAAATGCAAAAAATTCCATAAATTATCTTATCAAGCTTGTCATATAAAATAAAAATAGAATATGATTTAGCATTTGCTCAGATGAAGGATGGTGAAAACATTGACATAACACAGAAAAACGAATTTTGCCGAAGCATAAGTTTCATTTACAGAGATATTATTTTGTTAGTCATGAATATAAGCAAAAAATAAAGTTTATCATCTTTTAGCTCACCATCATTTGTCGTTTTACTGTTTCATAAATTGGCTAAAACTGAGTAAATACATAAGTGAAAATAATGTACTTCACAACTCTCGGAGTGAAATAGAGCATCTGTCTTGACCTGCAGAGATATTGTGAATGATCTATGACACGCACCCAAACCTCCTGATCCATACTTATCTGCAAACAGTACGTGCATATCTACACCAAAGCGGTTCTTTCAAGTGCATAAGGGAACAAAAAATCAAAATATTAGATTAACTAGAATAAAATTAGTTTCAAAGGAAGTTTACTTCAACATAATAATTATACGATCTCTGGTCGCGATCCCACAAAAGCAATCGAATATGATTAATAATGAATGGACGCCCAAGCTGAAATATTACTTTTCTTCAAAAGAGATAAAAACTGGAGTATTGAATGCTCTTTTTTTCTGATATTATGTTAATCGATAGCAAGAACAATAAACTAAAATTCTTTCCAAAATTTTGTCGGAAGAAAAAAAAAATAAAAAATTCTAGTCCAACCTGAACAATGATACCAGGATTTTTATCACCAATAGCATGAGTCGTGAAGCCACGTTCCATATCATACCGATTCGTTTCGCCAGACAGAAGAGTGGTGGAACCTTCACCAGTCAATACCGTGGCATTTAAGGCAGAAGTCACCACATTCACATTTGGTACTTTAAAATGAGACGTGAAACGATGGTCATCTACTCTAATTTAAGAGTAAAAAAGACTTAGATTTTCCACTAAATTAAATACAACGATTTATTACACTGAAAAAAGAGTGCACATAAAAAACTTTGATGCTTACGCAAAAATCCTCTATAAGTAAGTTCACCGCTTTTCTTTTCACTTCGTTCCTTAATGGCGTCCAAAATCGCATCACTTGCAACTAAACCGGAAGGTCGTATAATATTAAGTAAATCGTCCAGTTTTATCAGTGAAAGTCGTAATCGTGCAACAATCATTTGCGCGTCTTCCTGCTTAAAATATATTACAATTAATTTATTAATTCTTTAATTGATAACAACAAAACACAAACCTGATCAGGATGCTGCCGGATCCATTCACGTACAGCACGAAATATATCGATTTCGGGAGCACATAAAGAATCGCGTTGTACCATTTGTTCAACCGCACATGCAGAAAGTTGCAAAAAAGCCTAAAATCTGCAGATAGTGTCTATCATTCAATAAAAAAATATTATGGAAAACCAACGAAAATAACTGAGAAAATCAAAATAATGAAATTCACAAATTTAAGCAATGACAACACTGTTTAAAGCCAATAGTTCTTACCTGAGTTGAAATAACTTCAGGAGCATGTTTATCAGCAAAATTTAAACACACATCACAAAGTGACCGCAAAGAATACAAATGTGCTACACTGTATATTGTACAAACGTTTCTAACATTCAACATGGCCTAAAAAATTGACATGAAATAGACCTCGTTCACAACATAATTTCAATTTCAATTTTATTTGGAACATCTGTAACTACCTACATCAAACTTAGATCTTAGTGTCAGTGTTTCTCGACTGTACTGATTTTAGACAGTAAAGAATAAAAGAGACGACGTTAAAATTTAGGCATTTTCAGAAAAGCAGGGGAATGGAAGAATGCTTCAAGATAAGATGATTTCTAATACATATAATTTAAAAAAATACTTTCATATACTCTGAAATACTGATTTCTAATACATATAATTTAAAAAAATACTTTCATATACTCTGAAATACTGATTTCTAAGTCTGTGAAACCATATTTGTGTGCCAAACCAAGAACATCAAGAACTAGCTCTTCCTTCATTGAACTTAACGATAGCTTACCAGTGTAAATATACCTGAAATGAAATCGTCAAAGTAAAAATTTGTGAGAATTTGTGATACACAAAAAGAGCGATGAGATGGAGAAAGATTGAAGGTAAATAAAAATTGAGAGATGGTCCCAAATAAAAATCTCTAACAAATATGTAACAGAAATTCGAAAGAAACAAATTTAAAATATCACCTCATAAGCATTTTGAAACCATTCAAAGAAGTGTCCACCAATTCGATTTCTGAATCTCTCGTTTCGCGCATTCCATTATAAAGCAGGGCTCTAAAATCTCGACATTTTATCCATTCATCTTTTACATTTATTAGTTCTTAAAAGTTTGCATAGTTTGAAAGAAACTGCATATGGATGAAAAGTAAGAAATTCCAACTCAGTAAACAATCTCTTTTAGAAATGTGTTAATATATACCTAAAATACTGGCTTCGAGCAGCTAAGATAACTCTGTGAGCTGGTACCAAACGGCCTTCAACCTGAAACAAATCATTTCAAAAATAACCTCAAAGACGTTTTTTTTTTGGTACATTCCAACAATAGGTTAAACAATTACCTAATCGCCTGCAACAGCTACCAAATTGAGACCCATTACATCGCAAAATGCAAGCAAAATTTCACTACATTCTATCTTTTCCACAATCTTTCACATGTTTGCTTCTTAGTATAACAAATAATTTTCCGCTATTATAGAACATATTACAAATTATTAGTTGAAACTTTGAAAGAAAGTGAATAATACCTTTAATGTGATATCACTACATTCACCAGTTACATACAAATTCCCTATGTGTTCAGCAAGGTAATTTATATGTTGCACTTCACCAGTAGTACCTAAAGTAATACAATGTATTTGATTAACATAATGACAAAATTAATTTGCGGTTTAAGCTCTTATCTTTAACTTAAGCATGTATAAATGATACAGTTCATTCAAATTCTTATTCGTAACCTATGCTTTCATATCATTCGACTGACTGTTTGTAACCTTACCGCAGCAATTTAAATTGACTGATGATGCGGAACTCTGAAAGGCGAAGAAGCCGTCATTGTGAAGCTGCGGATGATTGTCGCTCATTCTTCCTTTTTCTCTCGTAAATTAACCACTCAGTGCATAAAATCGATCTAAAAATCAGTCGCACGACTCATTCTACTAACATTCGGGATGGTTGCAAGCATTAAGCTTATGAGAGTATCCGTCATTTACGTACCAAAAGTCATATGATTCATGTCATCACTGATGATATAAATGACTTATCAACACCAATACAGCTCGGGAATTAAAGAGCAGCTATATATTGATTACAGATACAGATTTAATATTATCAAAAAATATTAAGGAACATAAAGTGCACATGTGAGAACAAAATCTGACAATTCGAACACCGTAATGAACAGAGATATATCAGGCAACCCAAATCATGCACGTGAAGATCACGCAAGCTACACACAACGTATCAGCAAGATTGAACAACGTAGCCGAAAGAAGTCCTTGATGGTATCGATATGCAATAAGCATTCCAGTTCATGAACTCGAGAAATGAGCGTTATTACATGGAAGTGTTTACGGGTAGCAGCTTGACGGTTTTAAAATAAGCAATAGCTCGAGGGATATTTTTTTAATTATTATAAACAACGAGAAATCTCGGGAAGCAACAGGAAGATATAGCAAGAAATTCAATCACATCATGCAGTATATTTTTCAACCGTTCTTCCGCCCTACTGCTCGTTTTCCCTGTGCACCTGAATTTATGCAGTCGAGAATTGTAAGACTTGATTCATTATTGTACTATTTTAGTTAATGCCCGAATTAAGAAGTAATTTTTAGATTTTCATTAACAAAAAAAAAGAAGACCAAATTACTTATTGGTGGTTACATGACATTTCCTGAATGAAATGCTGAATAATTCAAAGTGTACGAATGATTTGGTATAATATTTATTGAATGATTCTGACAATGTATATCTGTATCGTTAATTGGATTAATCTCAGAGTGAAAATATTAAGCATAGTTTAGAGAGATAAATATCGGTTGGCAAAAATTTCATGCTAATTGTTTTTAATAGCTATAGTTTGTTGTGTGTATATTTGATAGTCCAAGAAATCAGACAGTTTTTTTTTTTTCCTACTTGCCTAAAGTTTCAAATTTCGAGATCGCCTAATATCCTCTAATATTCATTCATCTTAAATTATAATAAAATGCACGTATCATTTAATTTCACACATAAAGTCTAATTACAGGCATTTAATAACTAATTATGTTTTGTGTAAATAAAAAATATTCATTACCTTTTTGTCACTTAACATGTTCTGCGTACGCGAAAATGTTTCAAGCACCGGTGAATCGATCGTGTTGAAATTTCTGAATTCAAAATTTCCTTTTTCTGCATTTTCCTGCAAATTTATGCATAGAAAATTCGGACTATATTAGATAATCTTTCAAATCCCTGCTCATATTCTAATGGAATTTGAATATTTTACATTTAAATTTTGCTTTTGTTTGATCGAAATTTTAATTTTTATTTATTTGCTCATCTTTTCTATTTTGACAAATTACATAAATTGAATAACCGCTAACAGTTCTTTGTATTATTGCTGAAATATCTTGAGAACAAAAAAAAAAAAAGGCATACAGAGTAAATGACCAACCAAAACATTCCGAGCGCTTAAACCATCAAATATTACTTGAACTTGTGCAACAGTTTCCATCTTATTGATTTCATCTTCTTCCAAAAAAATTTGCCAGCTTTTATGCTTCACACGCGTTTTTTCACGTTGCTTCAAGACATCGATTATTTCCAGACTAATTCGAACATAATTAATGAACCTGGAATAACGGGTGTAACTTTCGGCCTTCTTAGCAAAGTTTATTTAAATTTAATTTAAGATGATTTGTATCAGCTATTTTATTAAGCACTATTTCAGGTAATTCTTACATGTTTCAAATATTATTGCTTTGAATTTGAGTTACATTAAGAGAGGTATAATTACTTACTCATAAGATAAGTAAATAGTTTTCAGTTTTCATACTCCGCAATCACTTACCCTATTACTTCACTTTGTACAAATTTATAAACATTTCGACAAACGACAGTGCACATATCAATTGTATTTATATCCAGATGTACTGTAAGGGCTAATCCAGCTTTCTTTTTATGATTTTTGATTATTCCAATACAAACACATTGCAACAAATCATTTGGTACCCTCCGGAAGTCAATCCTATATATCGGATTCTCATCATCTATTTCCTAAAATGATGCTTTCGACGAGGGATATGAAGTATGCTTATACTTCTCTTCAAAAATCGTCGTTTAAAAATTGATAATTTAAATAACGGAAATATATTGCGTTCAAGAAAGTTGTATTAATTCGTTTACTTACATCTGTGTAGTTAACAGAAGAGAAAAATTCATTCCGTCCCATGCCAAGATATAAGGATTCTAAACGCGTAACATCACTTGCCCCATGTTCACGTGAATAATTCACCAGCTGTGTCCATTTTTCCAATGGCTCTTCTAACTCATCGGAAGATATGCGGTACTTTTTTGCTAAAACAAAATTAATCATATGATAATTTAAAAATACTATAACAAATAAAAAAAAATTTACCGTCGGCAAGCAGAGCTTTTCGAATTTTCGATTTATCAGTTGATTTTATAATTTTGAAAATATTTTGATCAAAAAGCTCATCAATAGTTGGTCGTTTTTTATGATTTGGTTGCATTAGATGATGCCACAGTCGTAGAATTTCTGAGCTTAATGACTGGAACAGTTAATGATAGTAAATGAGTAGAGAATTGAAATCATTTTAATATACAATGCATAAATATAACGACAAATATGACATTGTAAAAAAGAAATGAAAAAACATTTTTGATATTCTGAAAGAAATAAAAAATAAAAAAGCAAACTGACAATACAGTAACGAATGTAATATTACATTCTATTATCCTATTCTCTCCTAAATAAGAATAAATAATCGTTATCCTACTGTCCTTCAAACGAATACAGTAAAAAATGTAATAATATATCTTCTCATTCTACCGTCTCCTGAATAACAATACAGTATAAACCACTATCCTACTATCATGTTAATAAATGTCAAACTGTTCTTTTATTGATTAAAAAGAATGATATTTATATAATACTATTTTAGCAACAGAATGATATTTAATCGGAAACTTACAAATTTTACTCCGCTTGGGAACCATCTATTGTATGGTACTGGCAATTGAAATTTCATCTATAAGATTTAGAAAAGGATTTAAAATCCAGTTAATGCATACTCCAAAATCTATTGGATGATAAAGTTTAGATATGACATACAAGTTGTTCAGCATATTGTTTCACGTCTTTTGAATACAACGTATTAGTCAAATGAAACGTTTCACCCGTAACCATTTCAGGTATTAATAATCCTACATGCCTAAAAATAAAAATATGAATATTGTAATTTTAAATTTCTTGAAATTTTCTAAAAATTTTTAAACCACTAAAATACCAAAGTTCAGTATGTGGCCCGTAATGTTCAATATCATTAAGAGCTTCTTCCGGTGCCCATTGTGTTGGTCGTCCAAAGAAACGATTATTTCGCAAGCTAAAAATATCCAATATAATTTTGAACGATTTATAAAAAAAATATTACACTTTCTTTTTAATTCAAATTCAATTCATTGCATTCATTATAACGACAATATTTAGAAGATAAAATTTTTCCATCATTATATCGGAATTGAAAGTGATTCTGTCGCAAATAGAAAGAGAAAATGATAAAAATGCAACAAAATTAAATTGATTTCAATCCAAGATAAATTCATATTTAATTTTTATTCTTTATTATAGTAAAAACCTAAGAGCCTTTCTAATATCTTCATTTTTTAATACTGTCCATTTGAAGCCAGTCAATTTGATATCACAATTTTCGGTAACGATAATTGATCGTGTAATCAAATTATTGTGTAATGCATGTTGATGTAAATATGAAAGTGCCTAAAAGCGAATGAATGACAATATTTTTGATGAGTGTAAAAATGATTAATTAATAGAAATTTTAATAATGGAAGCGTAAAGTAGTTTTTAAATTTTACATTAATTCACGTATAATCAAAAATAAAACATATAAGAGCTCATATTTACATTGTAATTTTATTTTCTAATTATTATTAAGATCTACTTTAAGAATTTTACGTAGAATATGACCAATAACATTTTCATTTAATACTGAAGTCATTAGTTCGCCATTATTGTTCATCATATCTCTATAATATAATTAAATGGATTGAAAGGTGTAGAAAATGAATCAACGAATATAATTAATTAGATATATGAAGTAGGGAAGTGTTACTGTAAGAATAGTTATCGGGTGATATTGAAGGATATTGTATTTTCATTTTTATACACGATTTTTTAATAGAATAATTAGTCATTTACCTTTTTGGTAAGAATAAAAGTTCTTGAAGAAAATAAAAAATTAAATTTATTGAGAGATAGACGGAAAAAGTTGAATGATTGAATAACATAACGAAATATGATGGCATTAAGTATAATAAAACTAAAAAGTATAGTATAATAAGAATAAAAACTCCTCCTAACTTATAAGGATTCAAAAAATATACACATTTACCGCCGTTTGACATAGAGAATTTGTTCAAGATCATAGACCATTATTGGATATTCTACAAATAAATAGTGGCGAAAAATGAAGACGGAAGAATATAACAAGAAACGACGATTATTCTTAAATTCTGCACATTTGATCAATTCATTTAACTGAAAACTTTGATATTTACCCTATGATTCATAAAGGAGTGAATTTAAAAGATGACTGTGAATATTTACAAGTCTTACTTTTCACTTCATCTTAAAGATTGAAATATGAAAAATAATGAAGTGAACTGAAGTTAGCATAAGGCAAGTGATATTATTATCGATGAATTTACTTAAATCCAATTAGTGCTGGAAGAGAGGGCCTTCCCACTTATAAAAGGATTATTTCTTCGTCAGATTGAATTAATTTTCTACAGTTTCAAAAAATAAACTGAACCGTTTCTCGAAGTGTGGTACCACTGACGAGAGCAGTAACCATAAGCACAAATTTTGCGTTGTCATTTCTACTTTTGACACAGTATCGCACTTTGTAATGCTTTTGTTTGCTAGCAAGATGAAGTGTTCGTAGAACGAAACACATGTTAAATTTGGCTAATAGATCAGTTCTGGAATAAAATTACTACGGAAGAAATTCAAATTCAAATTTTGAAACCAAAAAGGAGTGTTAATGAAAGCAATAAGATCATAATAGAGTTGGAGGATGACCCATTAGTTGTTTCAGTGAAATCTTATTTTAATTCAATTTCATGAAGACCTCGTAAAGATTTATGAATATTGATGGAAATTCTCCTCTCCTTGCACTCTCAGACAGACGTGCGCCAGAGACTTCTGTCAATTTACTAATCTCTACTTATTTAATTAGAATAACACTTTAATTTCAACTTTATGAATTTTTTTACAAATCATAAATAAAACACGATTATCATTGTTAAAAAATGTTACACTAAAACGCACTCATTGGTATCATTTTCTTCCACATTCACTCCCATCTGAGATTGATTACCACCAATTTATTGAAATAATCAAAACTATTAGTGTGTGATAACATCACCGCCTTTTATATAGCTGAAGAATATTTAAAAATTTGCATACCAATAATTTCAAAATATAGTTTAAGCATATCAGTAACTTCATTATAATATTACATCCTTCATCGCTTACAATAATTCATAGCTTATTTCAACTCCAGCATGTGCCTATAACTGCAATCTCAGCTTTCATTATAGCGCTTAGCTACTGTTTAAATAATTGCCGTATACAAGAATCACGTATTGTGCGGAAATTCAAATATCATTGAAAAATATTTTATGAGAACATAACGTGTAATATGTTGCAATCTACACGCCAAAAGCAAAACTAAATTATTCAAATAAATTCCTACGCTCAACAAACACTTTATCAGCTCTTAGAAATAAATTAACCTTTCCATAGATCAATAAATAGAACAATTTAAATACTGCCTCTTGTAATAGTATTCTACAATGATTTTTCGTCTAGAACTCAGCAATCACACTCGTATTTACAATTTCTATTTCTGTTTCTGGATGAAATTGTAACTCATATTCCAATGAAAATGAGGTAGCAACTTTATCCTACAAATTATATAGTTATATATTGAGAGTCCTGGATATATTATTTAGTTGTGTTTCTCTCCAGAATCCTGCTGCTTGCGATACTTGTACTTTAAACGTTTTTCTTCGGGAATCAACATAACATATAATGAGCAAACAATTATAATGGCAGCAATTCCCAAACTTAAACGGTACAACACCTCCAAGTGCACTCCATACGGTGATCGTTTAAAAAATGGTTCTGTTTTCGGTGTCTGTAATTATTTAAGCATTAAACTGAGTAGTAATAATAGTAAGTCACATGGAATTCTCCGTCACTGATAGCAATGGATATAAAGAAGATATAAAATATTGTGGGTATAAAGTCCATTGATAACGTCATATCGACTGATCTTTCAAAATCTATTAAGATCAGTACTAATCACCGCCTTTATGCTATCCAAAAAATAACCCTTCATTTCATTGGAGACTAATTAATTTACAATATGAAAAGCATACATTTTCAAAGAATGAATTTTCCAATGGATAATAAGTAAATTTATTCTGTGCCCAAAAATAAAACAAACCATTTTATCATGGAGTTCATATACTTTTTGCCGATTTTTGCCGAAAAGGAATAACCTTGGTTTATTGTACCTATCATCCCACAATCCCGCACTCGCATATTCGTTTAATTTACGAAACATTTCATACTTATCTTCATATTTATCCCTTAAAAAAGTATCAGAAATAACTTTTAAAATAAAATTAAAATATGGTTCATAAAAAAAGATATATATACTTTTTTAAATTATGGTCACCTACACATCAAGAAGTATCCAGTAATCCCATCCATATAAAAAAAGCATAATATTAGAATCAAGTTGTTTTTTTAGGAGGAAGATTAATGATCTAATCCGAAAAATAAATCATGCAGTGATATGATCGACTGAAATGACAGTAAATGTTAACAATGAAAACTCGTATGGACAAAAATAAAGAACAAATAACAGCCCTTTTTGAAAATTAAAGGAATTGCTCAATGACTAATGCGATTCGATAAATAGAAACGGAATATTTAATGGTTAAAACCAAATTTAGCTTGAAAAAAAGAACGTCATACATTAAAATTAACTCCTTCAATTTATGATTGCAATATAGAAGACAATAAAGCTCGAAAATAGAGAAACTTACTCCTTTGGTGGCTCTGTATGACTTGTTTGACATCTGCCTGGTAACCTGGAAAAAGTAATAAGCCGCGAAGGGAAAAGTGCAGCTCGCATTACGTGTTACTGCAACAGAAATTTAAATTTAAAAATTTACCCTTCAACCTACAAAGCTTTAATTTGAAATACACGCGACATAGCTAAAAAAAATGCATGGGAATGATGCATAAAACGTACTCAACTTAATAGAAATATCACGAGATGGTTCAAAATTTCTTTCTCCCGCGAATCCAAACATTATAAAAATATTAAAAATCTTGAAATGGTAAATTACCACTATTTCTCATGAGTCAATCATTTAATAAATAGTGTTTAGTTTCATATATAAACATTAAAACTACGTTCATCATGGAAATAAAATCAAAAAGGAATTATTCATAAAGTCTAATTTAGAACAAAATGAATCAAAAGCACCCGTTTAGAATAAAATCAACCATAAATTAATTCATAAGAAATGCATACATGACTTTTTTGCAAGAAAGAAAGATGAAAAAAAAGTTTAAGAAAAAAGAATCTCAATAACACAATATACTAACAAACAATTGTACAAAACTGCAAACAGATCTTCGCAATTGTGATCAAATTAAACACAGATGTCCAGATACTGTTAAAATTCTAATACTAGTACTGCACAGAAAAACACTTCTCTTAATATGTTGTAGAAATTTAGCGATTTACTAAAGTACAAATATTCTTTTAAAGAGGTCATGCATCAAATATGTTATAACTCCTTTAAAAAAATCCCTCACTTATTATTTAAGTTACTAAAGATTTTTGAAATATACAACACCCAAATTAATTTTTTAGGTTAACTTTTCAATATTTGAAAGTACGACAATGACAGCCATAATTAAATGTGCTTACTTTATCATATTTATCATATTATTTTTATCAATTTTCAATTGAAAATAAGGGCTTAAAGGATACTGCTGACTGCATACATATCCATTTTCTTACAAGAAGTACGTACAACTATTCATAACTCGAAATGTACTGGGCGACTGGGTGTTTGAGCGGATGCTTCATGTAAACGTTCCATGTAAACTTTATATGGATCTATATCCGTAAATTTATGAAATGATATAGGTCGTATTCGTTTAAGATACAATTCTGGATAATCATCTGGCTGAGCCTGATGAAAGGCTGCGGAGTGAATTATGGGAATGTCAAGACGACGAGCGCACATTCCTAAAAATAATGGTAAACTCGTCAGGTAAACATCGAAATGAAATGAAACAAGAAAGTGAAAGAATAGAACAGGAATATAAATTGTTTATTCCTTATAAATCTAACAATCCCAATAATTTCCGACTTTAATAACTTTATTATTGATGTCGACTAACATTGCATAATGAAAAACGATGTATTAACAGATGCTAGGCCTCAATTTTTCACTAAATACTATGCTGTAGTAGATGCCTCTTCATACAACGGTGAATTCCATAGCCACATATAAAGGATGTTCAGAAATGCAATTACAATTTAAAGTAAAACTAATAAAAGCTCAAATTTAACTTAAATTTGACAGATAATTTAAAATTTAAATTTGTGAAATGTGATTCAGCAGTTACAATTCACAGATTTAGGATTTGAAAGTTTTTATAAACATATCTCAAAGCACTTACCAATAACCATATCATCAGGTGAATCAATACTCGGACAACCACAAAAAACTGTAATTTTTTCTACGGCTTTTCGCGAAAATATCATCCTGCAGTTTGAACTTCAAGTCTGAACTTCAGAAAGAAAAAATATTGGAGAAACTATTAATACAACACATAGAATGGATAAAAACTTACCCAGCACCACCAGTTGGATAATCATATCCTTCACGACCATCAGTACTAAAACCATAACCATATCTTTCACCGATGATTATTTCCTTTTCTGCATCATAACATGATAAAAGTTCATGCAGCCTCGGAACGCTACAAGCTGATTTATTGCAAATTTCAGTATCAAATTCAGTATCAATGATGAAAAAAACAAAAGATAAGAAGATCGAACGGTTTGAGTCGCATATACTTCGAAAATCAGTATACACCTTTCAAATATACGTACATATGTAAGTACAATTCACCTTATCAATGTGTCGTCATCTGCTATCACTAACCATTTCGTTTTTAACGTCTCATCGTTTTTCAGATAATATGCCAGTATACCAAAAGTTTTTCCACAGTGCCCTAACACATTTTACTTTAATTAGTTAAAAGATTTCAGAAATTTTCTCGGTTCAAATTTTGAAACATTTCAATACTATAAAGTTTGACAAGAAAAATCTCATCATTAATATGGATTTTCTCATTTTTCTATGAATCAGAAAGCCTTTACTTTCCAGAAATCTTTCAAATAAGTTGTTCATGTTCCCATATTTGTTATATTATAACTTCGTTTATAATATAACAAAAGAAGCATCAAATAAAATGTCATTATATTTGATAAATTTCATTTTTTATAATGTCAGAAAGATACCTCTTTCTGTATTTTGAATGCCAAGATTCACAGTTGGTACATAATGATCTTCCATGTCGCTAAAATATTCTACATATTTCGCTGTTTTTGCCCAAGTTCGCTTTACAATTACAATACGCGTTTTATGGAATTCGCTGAAGGTTTTGATCGCAAAATAGACATCATTGTTGGTTATTTTATTAATGCACTAAATTTGTAAATTTAGTTCACTCGATTTTAATTGGAAATCATTGATGTTAACACATATAAATAAAAAATATAGGATCTTTTACTAAAAACGGTAAGTGTCCTCAAAATTTTATCCATGACCTAAAAGCAGACTAGAAACAGAGACAACAGACTTGTTAATAATCACACAAAAGTAAATAACAAATCTTAAGATAACTTTTTATTATTACATGAATGTTACCTTTTATTTAAAAGATGTACGATTATCAGTGGCTCAAATACATTAGATACTATATGAATAGCACATAAATAGAAATTCAAAAAACAGACAAACCTGAAAGTCCGGCTGTACATATTTAGTAATACATTGTGATTCGTGTTCCAAAAGACAAAAAGACAGTGTGTTGTTTAATCTGATATCACGTTTATCTTTCAGTAATCTGGCAAACTATAATTTAGATTTCTTCAATATTTCATTCCATTAAAAAATAATCTTTTCGATAATTCCTTGCTGATAAAAAAAAAACACCGATAATTCCACCTTATCTCTCACAAGGTTGAAAATCAAACAAAAAAAAAATAGTTTATGAGAAAGAACAAAGAATACTTCATATTTTGCATCGATTGTGAAACCTTCCCAAGCCAAGACATCGGTATCTCGAAATAAAGTCCACGAAAGTGCTAGTCCAGCAGCAAAGTCAGGATAAAGAAAATGCCGCTCATCATCATATTTGAAAAAGTGATGAATTATTGTATAGCTGAAAAAAATTGAATTAATGAGTGAATAGCTGAAAGAAAATTAATCAAACATATTAAAGATTTGCAAACAAAATTGAGTTAATGAGTGAATTGACATGTAAATAAAGCTCGAAATTTCCAGGCCTACATTTACTCATGCAGCACTATCACTTTTCAAATTTCAATGATCTAAGTCATCGTCATCGCTGATGTGCTATGGTTTACATAATAAACTACATAATAAATACATAATAAACTTAATACATAATCTTAATACATAATAAACTTAATAACTTAGTACATAATAAACTCAATTTCCTCTTAAAAAACTTAGTACATAATAAACTCAATTTCCTCTTACGGGAATAAAAGAGCTCACGTTTCATCACTTAATCCTCGTCCAATTGCATGAACTACGTTCCGATCAAAAGAATTCAGATATCCAATCAAAGCACTAACATTCAATACCGTATCCGGCTCACAGATCAATAACCAATCCCACAAGGTTTCCTTATATTTTCGAGATAGACTGCAAGTTATCAGCATTTAAGAAACATTTAATAAGTGACTTAATAATTATAAAGTCACTATAATGTTCGTTTTGCTTTTTCCCGACAGCAAACCAACCTTTCCAGCATCGGCCAAACTGCCCAGGCCCCAGTCAATTCCGGTAGATCTTCATATGTTCTCAAAATATCGGCATGCTGAAACCCATAAAATTTTAACCAAAATAACAGAGTTGACAAACGAGTTTGATTTCGAAACTTCATAGCAGAAACTTCAGGCACAGCTTTCTACCTTAAGCTTTGCAGAATGCTTTCAAAAATCAATGGAATATTAGTTAAATATAGCAGATGCACAAAGGGTATAACCAAAACCATAACATAATCACATAATCTATAACTAAAAAATTGAAAGATCACCTATCACCGCAACAGGTTCAATTTTTTTCTTCCAAAGTATCTATGTGGGAGAAAGAATGATCTCGAAGATGTAAGAATAAAATTTAAAAGGCAAAATCTCAAACAAGTAAAAATAAAAAGGTATTACTAAATCAAAAATGTCATTTTTACCAAATTTGTATTCTCCGAAATTTGTTTCTTTAGCGAATCGAACAAAACAGAAGTTCTACGAGCATCGTAATCAGCATTTTGTGATAAAATAACAAAAAGAATCGAAATTTCATGATCGGCCACCGATACTTCTAACAAAAAAATATAATTTCTCGTCATAAGTGGTTCGGATTATCCAATGTCGTTAAAAGAAGTGCAACATATTTGTTAGAATGTCCTACATGCCAAGACTCAATCAAATATAATTTCAGTTTAATTAAGCTATTTCTTAAGTTATCGGTAGAGACAATATAAAAGCATATGCAAACAAATAATTAACTAAGCTAAATCAACAGAACAGTAGCTTATTATAAGGTCTAAGTTTGCTAATACTCATAAAAAAAGCAAAAGAATGAAAAGAGCGTAAGAAACTTCGGTCAAGCTTACTTTGATCCTGAACACAGTAGGCTGAAATCAGCCAAATACACAGCAATCTTAATAACATTTTAATTGCGATCATGGATCTCGTGAGGTAAACGCATCATCTTTACTATCAACCGAAACAAGTCTGTAATTATAAGCTCATATGTCGACGCAAAAATCAACAACATAAAAAAGCACAAGTACATCTAAACTTCATATATTGGAATTGACCAAACTTTTTAGAACTTTTCAGTTAGATGCTTTATTAAGCACTTTAAGCAATCAAAAAGCTACCTCTTTTCAAGCATAGAACTTCAGCTGGACTTGCCTCGATTTTAAAAACATTTGTAAAGTTTAACGACTTATATCCTGAATCTTTTCAAAGAGAGCCATTTTCCAAACAGTGTTCAAAGTGTAAGAGCATTAAAGTCAGCAAAATGTTTTGTCAGTTACCGATCATAAGTGAAACAATGTGGACATGTCCTGTAATCAAATAACGTTCTACATTATTATATTTTATAAATTAAATTGGAAGTAGGAAGCCAGATAATCGACGCAGTTTTACAGATAATTCATCAGAAATCATAAAATATGAACAGTATTGATTTAATGCCTTTCTTTCTGCATCTGATGAAGCCCACTATAATATTGAGAGGAAGAACTTTCGTGGTTCATGTTTTTCTACATAAGCTAAAAGATCTTTGCTAAAACTTTGATGCCATAAAAAAAGGTTCATTATTAATTCCAAAAAAGAAAAGAATAAAGGCTTAGCATGCATAAATGCGTTACTGTGAATAATATTAGCTGGACATGCAGACGAGTGAAACGGATATTAGCTGAAACCTAAAACGTTTCGAGAATATGGACAAAAAATGATATTTAAGCAGTTCAGACAACCATAAGTGAACAATCTATTCTCATTTTCACAAATGAATTCAACGAATGGTAGTTTTATAATTAGTGTACCAGCAAGAAAACAACCCCGAATAACATTAAATCTTAGTTTAATTAATTAATACGAACAAGTCAAAACTGCATTACATATAAGATGACTGCATAACTTCTCATTATTTCCAAAACTTTTTCAAAATATTTTTCGGCCTGCCGTAAAACTTAACAGCTTGCTCCTATTTTTGGAAAAAGAAACAATCAATTAAAATGTGAAGCGGAATAAACGCCTATCCATGAAACCATGAACGTTGCGAATGCAGATCCAAAACCTTCTTTTGCTAATTCCCAAAATCCACCCAGTGAATCTTCATCCACCTGGAAAGAGCTCCATTTAAACTGTATATAAAAATTTGGATCAAATAATATCTTTTGACAAATAATATCTTTCAGTCAATGTAAAACATTTACTTTTCTGCTTTACACTGCTTGAAAAACTCACTGCAACTCTTATTAACAATATCATCGAAAAACCGTTTCATAAAGAATTTTAAGATATGACTTCTTAAAGCAATCAGCTTTTACACTGTTTCCATACCTATAACCCGGATGAAAAAATCAACAGGAAAGGATTTAGTAAATCAATAACAAAAAAAAAATTTAATCAATAAGATTAAAAGCAAGCAAAACGCAAAACATAACTAACCTTCTGAAAATTGGTAGTATAAAATTGACCAACTGCAGTAGAAATTATGATATAGAGAACGATAGCCAGAAAGCCATGTAGAGGTATGAAACCCCAAAAAATACCAATTATAAGTGCAAGAAGCTGCCTTCCCCAATATAATACATCCAGCAATTCATCTTTATCGGGCCATTCGCTTCCGCTTACCAACGCTTTTGACAACTGTGAACATAATGTACGATATATGTGAGATGAGATATGCATAATGTGGGTTCTTAACTTTGTAGCTGAATCATGCATATGAGATTTCAAATCAAGAGAAATCCAGAAGAGAAATTTCTCGGCCAAAGTAATTTACAAATGTAATCATGTATTATAGGTAATTTTTAATGTAAAATTACTGGGATCAAAACAAGCAGCATCATTGAAATCAGAAGATAAAATAATGAATAACTTGCTAATATCTTATCAAAGCTTTCACTCACATAGCAACATTTTGTGAAGTCGTCAAGTCTCGTGATACATTAGATTAAAAGAAAAAAAATTACCGTCTTTTTCCAATGAACAGTTTCGGAATTAGCTTGCAGCTGTGAACTTTTCTTTGGTGACATTGTTGCGATTCGTGTGTTAACTTATCATATAACCTGAAATTCTTCAAACTTTATGTACGAATAATACAAATATCGAACAGTGACTTACAGCGAATAATGATAACACAAAGTTCATATCAGGACATCTTTCGATAATCTCAATTATTAGCTGTGTGTTATTTCTGGAATAATTAAGCAGTGATATCTATAAAAATTATCTGTTTGAAACTCAAAAAACAAAAAACAGTGACCTTTAAATCACTCAACTGACTTTGTCAGGTTCAGATGCATTTTACGTAGATTGTCAGAGAACTACGAGATTTACAGTGATCATGAAATACATAACACAAAGAGTGAATTCAACCAATCATCACACATTAACCACTCATCATACTTACGTGAAATACGTCACAGCTCCTCGCACTTTATCCAAACTAAAGAAAGGAATAGGTCAGGTGCTTAGTTGCAAAAAAAAAAAATCAGGGAAAGTGTGCAACGCGACGTGTTTTTTCCTCTCGCTTATCGCGGATTAATTTTTCGAGGAATTCACTTCATTTAACATGTTTTGGATTATTTTTATTTAAAAGTCATTTAAAGATTTTGTTAAATCGACGATATTTAGACATTATTAGTACTATCGTTAATAACTGTGATATGCTATCATTTATCGGTGATGATAAATGTGGATATCACTGTTGACAGCTATAGAATAGACTGATTTTAGTTCTGGATCAATTCAATAATTTTGTTATCATCAATAGCATCTGACACTATTACCAGCAATATTTGTGACAAATCCGTTTTTTCTTATTTACCATGCTGTATCCCTAAATTACCATAATCATTTGAGATATGCAGTGTGCAACACTTCTTGTAAGCACAATAACCGCATATTGCATACATGCATGTTGAAAAAGACTCACACATTCTATAATCATAAAACAATTAGTTGAAATTATCGGCTTCTTAGATTTTTTGATTTTAGTTGGTTAGTGCGTAGCTATTTTAAATTTGTTTGAAGCTGAAATTTTTTTTTCTCTTTTATTTTCAGGCATGTTTGTGCAAGATGTTTCACTCCCATTTTATTAACTTTATCAAATTCAATATAGATAATATAGCAGTACATTTTCTTTTTTGAAACATGAAAAATGACAATTTATCTTTTTTTTGTATGATAAAATGGCAACTTATTAAACACAAGAGCGCAATATTTTCATGTTGTCTAGTAATTAAGTAATACATTTCCCAAGTTTTTTTGCTACATATTATAATCATATGAATTTTTTAGTTGTTAATTATACTATCTAGTAAACTTAGTTTACAAATGAATGTGATAAAAAGAAAACTATATTATATATGCTTTTTGCAACTTTAAATTTAACATTCCATTAAAATGTTCAGTTAACAAACCGGCTAGTTTCTACTTAATTAACAATTTCTACTTAATTATTCTTTTTATCGGTATTGGGTGAAATTTATAATTCTCAACGAAAGTGGAATCATTCTAGTTTTCATAGATGAAAGATTCTTTTTTTTTTTGAAGAATTTTGAAGTTGAAGAAAGGTATAACGCAAAGACGAGTTTACAGTAGAAGAATTATAACAAAATGGCGAAATTTTTAGATGGATAGAATAGTACTGGAACAGGAACAAATTTCATGATGAAAAGAAAAAAAGACAATTATACTTTTACCAAACATCTCAATATTGTCTCTCCTTCTACCAATATTGAATTAGTCGGGAACAGTGTTTGTATACTCAATATCCTTGAATAAACCGGAATGCTTATGACATCTTGCAACTCTATCAGATCATCTCTTTAAATATTGTAAAACGAAGAATTCCGGAATTATTCCTAATTACATTAACGACGTCGTCATCTGGAATATTTCCCTGGAATATAAGCGCTCCGACTCCGACGATGATTTGAAGAATTAATACGTCTGAAACGTTTGCGGTTTCGTGATCGTGAACGTGATCGTGAACGGTGACGTATCAGAAATTCACGACTGCATGACAAATCACGAAACGGTGGTGCGCTATGGGATCGTGCCAATCGAGCATCCATAGTTGCTTGACGGGCCAAATTGTTTGCCTGAAATTAGGAATATGCAAATGGCAACATCAAAAAAATATAGAATATAGATTTACTCAAATTTTATAAGCCAGTCCCGTTATATAAATCTTATAAAAAATTGTATAAGAGCTCTGCCGGCTTAAGCATTTAAATTCTTTGTATAATGTATTATGAAAGCGAATAGGAAGCCATTATTCCCATCTTTATATGAAGATTTACATGCAAAGTTTCCTGACTAATATTTTTCAGAAGGAATCATTCTTCATAGCCAAATCAAACTTCTTCGTTTCCATGCTCTCCTTCATGGCCAAAAACATGCTCAAATTGTACGCCATGTGGAAATCTGCTGGCTAATCGCTTCAATTGAGAGTATTCTTTATGAAATCGTCCATTGAAACCATCGTTATTCATTGCATATATAAGTGGTAGAAAATCGGTGCGTAATATAACATTTTCACCTCTGGTAAAAAGAAGGAAAATAAATTTCAATCATTTAAATTGGTTTAGTCAAAAAGGTTTGATCTCTTTCTCTATCTCGTTTATGAATGTTATTTGTATTGTTAAATGATTTAGCGATTTAATTTTACTTGTAGAAATTCCATTTTCGTAGTGATTTCAATGCTGTTTTGGCTGCAATTATTTCAGCTAATCCACTATTATGTTCGTAGCCATGAATCATTTTACTTTTGTTTAAGGGATGATTAGGTCCGAAATAAATACCAATGCCTGATGCGTAGTCCGCAATGCATGAACCATCGGTGTAAATCTTTAAATGATTGAAAAGCGTGTTTTAATTCACGTTAGAAAAATATTTACATAGGCATTTACATAGGCAAAAAGAGAGCAGTTAAAACCTATGTAAATAGATTTTAACTGCTCTTTTTTTCCGCCGAAAAATATCGGTTCCTTTCTCCTAAGCTTGACATACTCATAAATGAGTATAAATGAGTACAATGAGGTAATCTTGCGAAATGCTTCAACTATTCGACAGCTTGTTTGTATGGCGATGAAGTTTGCATCATATTACTCAATTAATCTTCATTTTTCATTTAATCTTTTTTTAATCGTTCTTTTAATCTTCATTTTTCAGAAATGAGACTTTTTTTTGTGAAGCAAAAAACATACAACAATAGGCGGCAATCCGGTTATATGTGCATCAGTTCCTGTAGATCCGCTGGACGTTTTAGTTCCATTAGCGGTATTATCACTGGTATCAGTGGTTGATTGCGTTGTTCTTTCTGGAAACGTTGAAACGTTTAAAGAATCGAATTATCTTACGAAGTCCCAAAATGAAATCCATCAATTGAATCATGTCCTTCTTCTAAACACTTCATTCATCCTTTAAAAAACTTCTTTCACTGATTTGTATAACGAACAATCCTTTTCGAGCTGTACCAGTGATACCTTGAAGCATCTTCAGTGACAAGAATATCCTGGGGAAGCTATGCCAGACATTACCGCGATACACGAGATTAGATATCGAACGAAGCATTAGTAAATAACATATTAAAATAATCATAATTAGTGGAAACAACCATCTTTATAAAAGGGTTATTTAAAAATTTGCATATTTTATCAATTAATAATGCACTCTCAAAATGGTTTCCCTATGAAACGAACAGAAAATAAAGCAGAACTGAATTATGAATTAAGACAGCCAGAAAATTGAAATTAAATTAAATGACTTGAAAGTAAAAGTTCATCCGATCTGAATCTATCATTTTGATTTCATTTTTTCTCTTGGAAAATTGAATTTTTTAATAGAAATTTCCGAAATTGAACATTGCAGCATCAAATTATGGCGCAAACCAAAGTTTATTGTTAGTAAAAACGAAACAAACAATTTCCAAAGTAAATTTCAGAACTTGTCATATCTTGATGTTTCCCGATATTTTCTTAATAGACAAAGAAAATGGCCTTAAAGTTTCATTGTGTCATCCATCCAGGAAAAAACTCTGATTATCAATTTACAGATAACTATGACATATGAGAACATGGGATTTAATGAGTTGGAAAATTTGAAAATTAAATTTAACCAGTTTCATTTGAATGTTTGCTTAGTACTTAAATGGTTCACTAATTCAAATTGACCATTATTGAAAGGTGGAACAATGTCAAGCGACGGTGATACGATAAGAGTGGAATGTCGAATATGCTCGAAAATGTATTCGTTTATCGAAATGCAACAAATATTGCCGTGTTTCCACTTGTTTTGTGAAGGATGCATTACCATCTTGACATCTTATCAAAAAGTGCAGCAATTTGCTTTTTTTTTTTTTAATCTATTGATTTCATAAAATTTTAAAACTTCTAAAGAAATTTCAGCGCTGTTATGTCTGTTGGTATAAATTGTTTCTCGAGGTGTTTTTTCTCGAGAACTCCTATGGTATTGTCATTAGTACTAGGATTTATTCTCTTACATCTTAATTTAACTAATAGTATTAATATCCAATATGCATAATAAGGATTGAATGACTGATAAGTTATAGGTGTGTAACTGATATCTATTATATCAATTCTGCAACTTTTCCAATTATGATTTTAGTTTAATGTACAAATTCGGTGTACTCTTAAGGAACAGAGCGTGATAGGTTGAAATTTTGTAATTTAACGAAATGCGATGTACAGACCATACAATATTGATAAAATGATTTGTTTCAGATTAATCAAGCAGATAATAATAGAAAGAGCAAAAAATTTTCTACAGATGTATTAGTATGTTTAAAAATTGATTAATTCAAAATATTATAAAATTAATTCGGCTTTCATTCTCAATTAATATTAAAAAATAATTATAAGTGACGTAGTAATTAAAAGAAACTGTGAAAATAAAAGTGTAGTAAAACTGTGCAAAATAAAAGTGATGAAAGATCAGATAATAATGTTTCAAAGTTAATATCAGGCATTTATTTATTTAGACTTGTCCGGCAACAAATTGCTATTCGCAAATTCGTGTTGCTTTAACAGATCCTCTTACACTTACCATAAATTATTGTGATAATATTATGTGTCCAAGGTATAATTTGTTTCTTCTTTTGCTTTATTTGATAATTTCGGTCCAAAAAAACTAAGCACATTCTTTTTTTGTAAATGAAAAAAATAAAAAAAGGAATTTTTACAACGATAATGCTTATTAAATAATCAATTTACTTTAATAAAATAAGATAGAATCGAATCAAAAAGTCTTTAGAATACTTTTTTTTTTTGAATTTCTGTTCTATTTTTTATATCATTTTCATCCCATCTCCTTTTGCTGGTAATTATTAATTGGGTCCGTAACAAATAAGTATTCTAAAACTATTCATTCGATTAATTTTGTTTAAAATCAATAGTAATCTTGCTCATACACTTTTTTAATTCTATTTTTTTTTTCAGAAAATTATCACAATTTGAATCTACTCGTCTAATTGCATGTCAACATGAACTTTGCACAGCATGTCTGGAGGAATCATTACAACGACAACCACCTAGTCAGTTTCTTTTTTTCAAATGTTTATTTAATTTTTCCAATAATGAAATTTTTATAAGTTTAAGCGTAGTAAGAGTATCAAATTAATATTTTTAAAGTTATAATCACAAATATTTATAACATTTAACAGGTAATTTCAAAAAGAAAAATATGATTGATTTATTGACTAAGTAATTAATTGATTGCTTCATATTCATCTGATTTTATTATTGCAGCTTGCATTATCGAAAATTGTAATCGGAACATTGTTGAAGTGGAAGATGCATATTCCTGTGATAATTGTAATAAACAAACCGATGATCCGAAGACACTGATTGCTACCAATTGTTGCAAATGTCATTTTTGCGAGCAATGTGTTGAAAATCGGGTGAATATGGGTTCATTAAACAGTAAGTAATTAATAGATATAAAATGTAATAATAAATTAAAGAATTTAATTTAATTATTTTAATCATATTTCTTAATTTATATGAAGCTGTCAGCAATATATAATTCATTAAACTATATGAATTTCCATAATAATCTAAAAAGAAAAATTTGCTTCCAATCAATTTTGCTAAAGATTTCACTGGAAATTTTTTTGCACTAATAAATCAATAAATTCCAATCTTTTTGATAACTTTTTTAAAGAAACAAAATGAAAGGAAAAAGTATTTTTCTGCAGAAGAAACGCTGATATGTACCGATGGAAAATGTTTGTCAAAAAAGAAAATTGAAAGTGGAGAGGTGGAAATTTTTTTGTTTTCAATTAATTTCAGAAATTTTTTAATACGCTTTATATGCTGTTCATAGTTATAATATGCTTCAAAAAAAAGAAAGAAAAATTTATTTTCAATCAGTTTTGCTGACGTTTCTCGCTAAAAATTTTAATACGTATAACTTTCAGGTACAAGTGAAGTGTAAGGTGAAGAATGATTGTGAACGTATAGCTCTCAATGGCTTTCCATCAAATTCAGAATGCAGTCATGATGTATGCATTGAATGTCTCACCGATATGATTTCTGATTGCGAAGCAAGCGGTAATCAATTTCACTATTCCTAATTGTATTATTATTATAAAAGTACTTCACGTATAATCTCAATTATTAAAATGATTTTGTTTTAATTTGATTAAATAATTTTGAAAACTTTAGTTTCAATTTTATTAGCCTTTTATTATCAATGTTTAACTTAATTTTAATTTAACATCTGAAAAAAAAAAACTCAAACTCCATTTTTTTAATCGCTATATTACCGAAAAATGGTAAATGTTAACCGTTAAATTTACTACTAAATTTACAGGGGTAGTCCCAATGTGTCCTCATCCATTATGTCGTCAATATTATACGATTGAATCGGTGAATGCATTACGTGCACTCTTCCCACAAAAAGCTGAATTCTTTCAACGATTTGATTTAAGCGAACGAAAAACGGAACTTTTTTGCAGAGATGACTCTGTTACAGTATACATTTTTTTTCATTCACTTTTTGTGATTAATTAGTTTTTTAAAATTATGCACCATTAGATAATTAGCTAAAGTTGACCATTACAAATTGTTTTTATCCACAGTTTCAAAAAATAGGATGAAAATTTAACCACAGATTTGTACAGCAAATATCAGTTAATTTTATAAATATGAAATTTAATGGAAATTTCAACTTTGACTTTAGAAAAAGTTTCTGACAATTTTTTTTTAGTTCGTGGATCTTTCGTCTGATTTTGATTTCGCATCAAGACTTATGACAGTACGCGTAATGGCTGATAGTGATGAAGAAGCGGAAGAAATTTTAATTTACGATAAGCAGGGTACTATTGGTGATTTTATTCGTGAAATTCGTCGTGTTCTTAAAATACTGCCGTATGAAAAAGTAAGTATTATACTACTCTGATAACTTTAATCCCGTATATTTATATTGAAAATTTGATTATTATGACATGCAAAGAACCTCAAGTATAAAATTAAATGGCATGTGTTATCATTTTAATAATTTTAATTTTTCATATTTATATCGGACATTTAAATACCGGAAATTGTAAAAGCTAAAACATATGAAAAGGCTATTTAAAATGAGAATCATTAGAATTTGTTATCTTCAGTTTTTTTATCACTTTCAATTCACTTTATGAAAAATTTTATTAGAAGGTGAAGAGAAAAATTCAGGCGTATAAAAAAGCCAAATGAAATAGTCACAGTTAGCTTATATCTTTACTTCTAACATTTGTTATACAATACCTTCTAATTTTATTATTAATAGAATTATCTAACCATTCAAAAAAACCAACTATGTATTTGTTATTCAGAACAAATTCTAATGAATTTTCTTGCCAAAGAATTAAACTTTTAACTTCAAATTTAAAGCTTTTCGTTTTTTTTTTCCAAGATATATGGCTATTTCATTAAACGTGAGGATAATGGTAAGGATGACAATGAAGCAGATCAAGAGATTGCCATTGATGCTGCATCACTGGCTAAACGTATTAGCGAGTTACAGCTTACCTCAACCTCTATTGTTCACGTTGATACTGCTGGCATTGTACAACGTAAATCTCCTAAGAAAATAGATAATTCAAAGTGATCATAAATTTATCCTATTATGAGTAATTTCAATTTTCATTTCCATTAATTCTTTTTTTATTTTCGATTCATTTGTAATTTATCATCAAAAAATTACACGATAATAATGCATATTTCTTAACAAATATATGTTGTCGCCGTTCTTCTCTGACCGTGACAATATTTAGAATTTGATTGCAATCTTTCAGTTTTTGTGGAGCTGAAACTTACATAATTGAACCATAGCAATAATAGTAAAGACACAATATCAAACAAGAAACAAAGGATACAAAATAAACCGAACGCATAACCCGAAATGAAGAAGTAGAACGAATGATGAGACGTGATGTCTTATATAGGCAAAGTATACGTGCATATCATAACGCGGGAAAATAAGGAGAGATATTGGAGGGTATAAGAGCAAAGGAGATCATGCAATACAATAATTGGAGGCAAGGATGGGAACGGAAATGTAAGTACACGATGAATCATTTGACTGTGTTATTTGGTT